CCTCCGCCCCCGCCCCCGGCATTTCTAACCCCATCCACATGGAGCGAAATATAACCTTACGAACAATCCTCGGAGCATTCTCACACTAGGACTTTTTCAACTTCTCTGTGGACCCAATTGTGGTCAGGTGCATCCAGGCCAGTTCGGAAAAACGGTTATATACATCAAAACGTTCTAGTGTGAGTATGCCCTCAGAATGCTGAGGGGTACGATTCCAAAAAAAAAAAAAAAAAAAAAAAGAACAGGGAGGAGCCCACACGGACTGCAGTGAGCAGTGGGGGCTGACCTGTTTCTATGCAGAAAGGAATGGGCTGAAGATTTATGGTGGGCTCCCACTGGCAAGGAGAATTGGATTAAGCGTCTGAATCTGGATGTGTTTCGTGCAGAGATGCAGAAAAGCAGATCAATCCCGATTTTCTGTACCTCTCCGCAAACATGTCCTGATTCGGGCGTTCAATCCAATCCTCCTTGCTAGTGGGACCTCCCCCTTGTGCAATGCATGTTAAACTGAAAGGCCTTCCACGATTCAGACCCCAAATTCAAGTTTCAGGGTCAGAGTCGGTGAGTTTCAGAAAAGTCCCAGTCGGGTACCTTAGCAGTCCAACAGACACCCGGCAAACAGTCACATCTCAGGGGTGAAATCACGTCTCATAATGAAAAGTCTTGTTGAAAAGTCACATCCCACGAGCGAAGGACACTTCCACAGGCAAGAGTCGTGTCCCAGAGGCAGGAGTCACAGTCCACAGTCAAAAACCATGTGCCATAATCGAAAAATCGTGACTCAAAGGCCCAAGCAACAGCAAACCAATGAAAAATCGGGAAGGTACCAGGCCCTAACATTGAAAGCAGACAGGCCGTGGGGATGTGGTACCAGAACCAAGTCAACCCCCAAGAAGCAGCGGCTGGCACGAGTTGAAGTTTGGTCCCAGACAATATAAGGACTGGCCAGCCTCCTCATTTAGGCAGATCGCTCATTCGCATGAGGTGTGGAAGTGCTGGTGCACTTGTGTGCTATTGTGAGGGGCGGAACGCTGAGCCACAGAGCTGTGCTGCTAGAGAGAGAGAGAGAGAGAGAGAGAGAGAGAGAGAGAGA